CGAGCTAAGCGAAGCGGGGAGTGTGGACTACGACTTTCTCGTTTCTCGTTTCCATCGTACAGACAGCTCTACTGCCAAGATGGCCAATGTGCCTGAAACCCAAAGGACTTTCTGTAAGGAGTGTGGAAAGCATCAGCCTCACAAAGTGACCCAGTGTAAGAAGGGGAAGGATTCCCTGTACGCCCAGGGAAAGAGGCGCTATGATAGGAAGCAGAGTGGCTGCGGTGGCAGACAAAGCCGATTTTCCGAAAGGAAGCTAAAACCACAGAGAAGACTGTGCTGAGGCCTGAATGTGTGGAGCCTGTGTGCAGATCAGAGAGGACGCTGGCCATTAAGAGATGCAAGCATTTTGAACTGGGAGGAGATAAGAAGAGAAAGGGCCAGTGATCCAGTTCTAAGCTTTTTATTTCTGAGAGGAAAATGTTAAAGCTGTAGAAAAATTACCTGTATGAAAATAAATGCAGTGATATTCTTACTCAAAAAAAAAAAAATTTTTTTTTAAACCTTCAAATGTCGCCCAAGCTGGTTTGGCTCAGTGGATAGAGTGCCGGCCTTTAGACTGAAGGGTCTGGGGTCCGATTCCAGTCAAGGGCACCTGCCCAGGTTGCGGCCTCAATCCCCAGTAGGGGGTGTACAGGAGGCAGCCGATCAATGATTCTCTCTCATCACTGATGTTTCTATCTCTCTCCCTCTCCCTTCCTCTCTGAAATCAATAAAGATATATTAAAAAAAAGAAAAAAATCTTCAAATGTCATTGTATGAAGATGTTCATGTCAGAAACAGAAAAAAAAATTGTAAAAAGGAAATCTGAGAGAAAACAAATTACGAGGGGAAACAAAATGGCTGATGTATCCACTGAAGTGTGCAGTCCAAAGTGAGATGTTTCCATGGCAAAGAAACTAGTCTTGGACTAATTCACTCTGGACTTACTATTTTTTAATCCTCACCCGAGGACATACTTGGAGGAGAGAAGGGAAGGAGAGAGGGGAGGAGGAAGGGAGAGAAGCATCGATGTGAGAAACATCCATCAGTTGCCTTCCATATATGCCCGGACCAGGAATCAAACCTGCAACCCAGGTATGTGGCCTCACCAGCAATCAAATCGGCAATCTTTCGGTGCACAGGACGACACTCAACCACCTGAGCCACTGGGGCCGGCCACACTGCACTTACTAAATGCGACAAAAGCAGGTGCTCCGGAAGCCAATTTTTAGAGAACGGTGGCACAGGCAACACTGACGAGCTTTTGGGAGCTTTGCTCGCAGCCCACTTAGTATGTGGTATTTCCCAGAGTTCACGCCTTATCATAATCTGTCATTTTTACTTAAACAAAACACTTAAGAAAACAAATTTCTAGAAAACACATATTCCATTGCAAAGGAATTAAATTATTTTCCACTGTCCTAAGTTTGTGGACTAACAGCACTGCTCCTCTTTCCCAGAGTATCTCTAGCTACACCTCTGCTGACCAGCTGTGCCAGGGTGGCTTTCTGAACGTGCCCTGTACCCCAGAGAAACCTGAAGGCTCCCAGCAGCTTCTTAGCAAAGGTAGGAGGGACATGACCCACAGCTGGCTGTCATATCTTGCTCCTGCCACTCCACCCCAGTGTGCTAAGATAAACCTTTCCCTTTGAAGGATCTGTTTCCATAAGCTATCCACTTTTGGTTACTTATGGTTTGCTTCTTCCTGGAGTTTAGAAAACCTGACTTTTGGGTCAAGATTGGTATAATGGTAACTCCATTTCACTGTGCACTCATTAAATTCCCTGATATTAACCATGCTCAACTACACTCAGTCCACAACTTGAATTATTCCATATACAGGGCTTAATCTCCCTAGATTTGAGTAGTACCTAGGAATTAAAAATGAAAACAAGCCGAAACCGGTTTGGCTCAGTGGATAGAGCGTCGGCCTGCGGACTGAGAGGTCCCAGGTTCGATTCCGGTCGGGGGCATGTACTTGGGTTGCGGGCATATCCCCAGTGGGAGATGTGCAGGAGGCAGCTGATCGATGGTTCTCTCTCATTGATGTTTCTAACTATCTCTCTCCCTTCCTCTCTGTAAAAAATCAATAAAATATATTTAAAAAAAAAAAAAATGAAAACAAAAGCAAGATGATGTAAAAATGTAGACTGATCTCCAAATGAAAATAAGGCCCCAGAGAAAGCGAGAGTGACTTCATGGAAACCAAACATTGGAATAAATGTGAACATACAGTGCATTTCTTTACTTCGGGTTTGCCTGAAGGATTTGGTCGTCTCTAAAACACTCATGGTGAATTAATGAACAAATTAAACAACTGGATAAATTAGCAAATATTTAGAAACAAGGACTATAACAATTTCTTTAAATAAGTAAAAAAGTGTGTGGCATGAGATAAAGTTGGGAGACAAAACAGAGCCTCCTGGGGAGCAGTACTGGTTGGACTTCACCTCTTTCACCTCTGTTATTCCTTGGAGCTGCCCTTGTACAACTTGGCTCTTTACCAAAAACAAAGTTTGAAGAACGCAGCAATGAGAGAAAACCAAGAGGTGATAATCAGCCTCATTAGAAAACAACTGTCACTTCTGATAAAATAAAAATATGGCCCTAGCTGGTTTGGCTCAGTGGATAGAGCGTCAGCCAGTGGACTGAAGGGTCACAGGTTCGATACCAATCAAGGGCACATGTCTGCATTGCAGGCTCGATCCCCAGTAGGGGGGCATGCAGGAGGCAGCTGATCAATGATTCTCTCATCATTGATGTTTCTCTCTCTCCCTCTCCCTTCCTCTCTGAAATCAATGAAAATATATTTAAAAATATATATATGAAAAGATGTGCCTAAAGTGAAAATGTAACTATTATATATTGTTTAATTACTTATGTTAAAGGTTAACAAAACATATGCCTATGTGTTTAGTACTGAGTTTGTTCCTTTCCTCAACACCCCCAAAATAAATTTTCCTTTGTTTTATTCAACTAAAAAAAAATTGAAAACCTGGTTCTTATGCTTTGAGAATCAGTAGCCCACTAGCAGGTAGAAGCAAAACTTGCCTCAACTTCTCAACTATAAATTACAACATTTTCCCAGCCTGCACTTAAAGTTTGTAAATAGGACTAAAGCCCATGTTTTCTGACTCTCAGCCCAATACTCTTATTTTCTTCTCCTTCAAATATGAACAGAATTGGCTGATCCACATGAAACTTTATTAATACAGAAAACCCTCTACTGTTATATACAGGAGTCACAATGTCTTGCTAATTAGACCAAATAGCAGAACAACCATCGGGATGAAGCCAGGGCTGCAAGGGCTGGCCAGGGCAGCCAGGACTGCGAGGGTCGAACCCCTTGCATGAATTTCATGCATCGGGCCTCTAGTCTTAAATAAAACAAGTGAGTTATGTGGTACATCTGCAGACACAGGCAGGGCTATGTGCAGAGGGAATATTTGTGAGTGCTAGGTTGCTCTGGCTTAGGGAGTAAATTCTATCTTCACTTACAAAATTTAACTCTTCATATAATCATTTAAATACAGCACAGACTATTCTTAGTCAAAGACATTCTTCAAAATGACACATTAATGATTTGGAGGTTTTTATGTGTCTCCTTTTCTCCTTTTTGTAAAGAACACGCCTAATTGCAAAGACGTTGCCCAAGCCAAAGGAGGAACAAGGATAAAGTCCACGGTCTGTGTCTATCATGACAGCTCAACAGGCATCAACTCCCAGGCATGTGAATGGGGCAAAGGTGGAAAAGGGGAGGGACTAACTGAAAGAAATGGGGCACTCTAAAATCCTTTAGGAAAAGGAGCTGAGCTGTGGCAGCTCTGATTTGTCAAGGGCTACGGGATACTTAGAGCTTTCTTTCTGATGCAGATTTGATCAGTGTAAAGGGCAAGCTTAGCTCCTAAAGCTAACATGGTAACATGGACACCCTTTCTCTTACCTCTCGTTCCCAGACCATTTGCCATGATCAGAAGAACCAAAAACCCGCTGAGAGAATGGCTTACATGCTTTTCCTTTCCTCCCCAAAAAATTTCACTTCAAAAGCCCCTAAAGATTTCTTGATTTCCAAAAGCCTGCTGAGCAATGAGTTGAGTAAAATGGCAAATGTCCCCATGCCTGACATATGCTCCTGTGCTTAGTAGGAGGTGGAGGTATTAACCGTTCCCTCTTCCTCGTCCAGTCCAAGATCCAGCAACCAAGTTATCCATTGTGTTCTCAGATCAATGTTTCCTCACCCAAGGATATTTTTCCATTGGTTTTTTTGTTTGTTTGTTTGTTTTTAGGGAGAGTGGGAGAGAGAGGGAAAGACAGAAAGGAACTTTGATGTGAGAGAAACACATCGATTGGTTGCCTCCTGCACGAGTCTCGACCAGGGCCGGGGCCGAGGAGGAGCCTGCAACCAAGGTACATGCCCTTGACCAGAATAGAACCCAGGACCCTTTGGTCCCCAAGCTGACACTCTACCCACTGAACCAAACCGAGAAGGGGGTCAGATCAATTTTTTAAAAAATATATTTTTATTGATTTCGGAGAGGAAGGGAGAAGGAGAGAAAGAAACATCAATGATGAGAGAGAATCACTGATTGGCTGCCTCCTGCACACCCCACTCTGGGGATTGAGCCTTCAACCCAGGCATATGCTCCCACGGGAATCAATCGCGGGGACCCTTCAGTCCACAGGCCAACACTCTATCCACTGAGCCAAACCGACGAGGGCTCAGATAAATTTTTAAGCGCAAATTCACTGGTCAAGCCTTACCAAACAATGATCATTTTACTCCTCTGAACCCAATTAAGGTGTTGGTCCATCTCTCCTAGATCACTAGCCCCTCCCTCCACATTCCTGATGCTCAAGTTGGTGCTTCATTAAAATAGCAGGCAGGCCACAATGACAGGAACCCAGGATGATGGGCAGACCTCCAGGGACACCACACAAGTCCCTGCACTAGGTAGGGGTCAGGAAGTGCTCTTCCTCCAAATCACCCCGTATTGTACAATTTTAGAAAGACAAAAATATGTGTGCAATTACAACCAGTATTTAATATTATGCAAGCATACTGTACAGAAAAGAAAAAAAAAAGAACACTTCATCTAAAAGACCCCTCTGGGACGCAGACCCCGAGGGCTGGGTTCGCAGAGGTGGCCGGTGGGCAGCGCTAAGGCCTATGGGGTCTGCTTACTTTTCTCCTCCACGTTCTTCCCGTCGTCCCCGCTTTCGGAGCAGCCCTAGAAGGAGAACAGGTGCGACACACACATCAAGAGGGAAGCGATCGATGGAGCTCACACAAGGCTCCCGGAGGGCATCCAAGGGGGGCTGCGAGGTCCCAAACCCCTTCCCCTGGGGGTCAGAGCCCCCCGATGCAGGTTCCAAAAAAAAAAAAAAAAAGCCACCTCCCCGAGGCCACCACGGTCCCCTCCCCGGAACCGCCAGGGCTACCTCCCCCGAGGGAGGTGTCATCGCACGGGGATGGCCACGGCCACCACCCGGGACTCCCTCCCGGGAGGCCTGTGCCACCTCCCCAGATGGCCACGTCCTCAAGCCGGCCGCCAGGGCGCCCTCCCTGCCACCATCTCCCCTGGTCGGGGCTGTGCCACCTCCCCGGGACACCCGGGCCGCCTCACCGGGGGGGCCGGGCCCTCGCCGGTCGGGCCGGCCGGGAGCATCCCGCCTTCGCGCGCGCCCTCCGCCCCGAGCGCAGCCAGCGTGGCGCGGGAGCGCGGGCCACCAGCTCCGCTCGGAGACCGCGGGCCGAGCGTCAGGGCCACTTCCTCCGTCTCTGTGGTCGCTTCCTCTCCTGCCAGAGAGGGCCTGCCGCGCAGCCGCGGGCCCGTGCGCGCGCCCCCTACCGGCAGGGCGCCCAGCCGGCCGCTCGGGACGCGGGCCCCGCCCGGAGGCTCTCGGGAGAAGCGGGGCCGGTCCTTCCCAACCTCCTCCACCCACCCCGCGGGGGCCCTTAACCATGGAGCTTGGGAGCACCCGCCCGTCCACGCCGCACATTCAGTACGGGCCATTTCGATGTGTGTTTTAAGCGACAGCTCAGGTGTTCTGGCAGTGTGAGGGGGCTTGCTGACTAGCTGTAATGTAATTGGGTCGGGCTGTCGGGCCGTTTAGTTGGGGCATCTCCAGTGTCATTATCTTTGGATCCTTTAAGGTTGATCTGATGCAACTAGAGATGCCCTGGGAGCAGACTAGACCAGAGCAAAAGGACTCGGCGTCTAATACGCACTTTACCCAGTGCAGAGACCGCCCCAAGCCTGCCCTTTGCCAGGGAGAAGGAACAGGAGCTACCTGGTAGCTAGAGGAAGGTGGAGGACCAGGGATTTGACAACTTCAGAAAGAGCATGGAAGGTGGTGCCATAGAGACATAAACGGGGTGGGAGTGGGATGCAGGGAGGGGGGGGGGGGAGCAACCCAAGAGGGGAAAACTTTTTTAAAAAATTTTATCAGTATCCTGAGTTATGAAATATCATTGCAACCATAAAACAGTAACAGATTACTGTTTCAATAGAAGCATTCAGCCATGGCCTGTGTGGCTCCGTGGTTAGAGCTTGGGCCTGCACACCAAAGGGTCGCAGGTTCCATTCTCAGTCAAGGGAACATATCTGGGTTGCACCCTCCATCCCCTGCCAGGTCACAGTTTGGGCGGGAGGCAACCAATCGATGTGTCTCTCTCACATTGATGTTTCTCTCTCTCTCTCTTCTCTCCCTCCCTCTCTCTCCCTCTCTTCCACTCTCTCTAAAAAGTAATGGCGGAGAGGGGGGGATCCTCAGGTGAGGGTAAGAAAAAAAAGAAGAAACATTCAGAGACAAAAATATGATAGCAGAAATGTGAAGTTCAATAAAAGAGTTGGAAGATGGGAAATATCTTAGGGGGCAAAAAGCAGAAGGGCAAAGAAATGAAAATAAGAGACAAATAATAGCCGAAACTGGTTTGGCTCAGTGGATAGAGCGTCGGCCTGTGGACTGAAAGGTCCCAGGTTCGATTCTGGTCAAGGGCATGTACCTGGGTTGCGGGCATATCCCCAGTAGGAGATGTGCAGGAGGCAGCTGATCAATGTTTCTCTCTCATCGATGTTTCTAACTCTCTATCTCTCTCCCTTCCTCTCTGTAAAAAAATCAATAAAATATATTTTATTTTATTTTATTATTTTTTTTTAAATATATTTTATTGATTTTTTACAGAGAGGAAGGGAGAGAGATAGAGAGTCAGAAACATCGATGAGAGAGAAACATCGACCAGCCGCCTCCTGCACATCTCCTACTGGGGATGTGCCCGCAACCCAGGTACATGCCCTTGATCGGAACCGAACCTGGGACCCTTCAGTCCGCAGGCCGACGCTCTATCCACTGAGCCAAACCGGTTTTGGCGATAAAATATATTTAAAAAAAAAAAACACACACACACAACAAAAAACTTATTTCAAAAAAAAAGAGTCAAATAATAAATTAGAGGACCACTCCAGTGGGTCCAAAATCTGAGAAATAAAGAGTTCCAAAAGAAAAAACCAACAAGGATTAGGGAAGGAGTGATCATCGACAAAATAATTCAAGAAAATGTTTCCCAAACTAAAAGTTTCCAAATTGAAAGGGCCCACTGAGTGCCCAGCACAATGAATAAAAGTTGACTAATCCCAAGGCTCATCGTTGTGAAATTGCAGAACACTGGGAGCAAAAAGGCAGTCCTAAGCTTTCAGAGAGAAAAACAAAGGATCAAGACTCAGGATATTTTTCAATTTCTCAGCAGTCACAAAGAAAGCTAGAAATCATGGGAGCAATTCTATCCACTTCAAAGAGAATTTTATTTCAAACTGGAATTTTTTGCTTAATTACTAGTAAACTACCAATCAAATGTGGGTAAAGAATAAAGGTATGTTCAGCCATTCAAGATCTCAAAAAATTTCCGTTTCACTTACTTCTTTTTTCAGGAAGCTACTGGAGATTGTGCTCCACTAAAATGAAGGACTAAACAAAGAAAAAGAAGACATAGGATATAGGAAACAGAAGATACAACACAGGATTCTCTTTCATCGATGTTTCTATCTCTCTGTCCCTCTTCCTTCCTCTCTCTCTAAAAAATCAGTAAAATATATTAAAACTAAAAAAAGAAGATGCAACACAGGGAAAAAATGAAGCGATGTCCTGACACCTGTGCATTAGACATAGACTGGTGCAGGTCAGAAGGGTCCAGAGTCATGAAACTGATAGAATACCTCATCTATCTCAATCTCTGCAGGAAAAACAAAAAAACTGAACAGGAGCAGTAATCATAGTATACAGTACCATTTTGCCCAAGATGTGAGTAATTACAATGTAGTAAAAACAAATCTATTTTAGGCATATAAAGGGATGATGGGAAGGGTGATGGGGTGGGAGGATGGAATCGGGGAAGAAAGAAGAGCTAAAACCTTATTTTTTTAAATATATTTTATTGATTTTTTACAGAGAGGAAGGGAGAGGGATAGAGAGTTAGAAACATCGATCAGCTGCCTCCTGCACACCTCCTACTGGGGAGGTGCCTGCAACCAAGGTACATGCCCTTGACAGGAATCAAACCTGGGACCTTTCAGTCCGCAGGCCGATGCTCTATCCACTTAAATCCTTAATTTTCATTAAGTGAAGTCAATAGATAATATCTAAAAGTGAAAAACCAAGAAATAGAAATACAAATATTTTATGTAGAGAAATGACGATAAGTACTATATCTAAATAACCAGTTGAAAGATGAGCTGACTGCCTTTGAGGAGAGGAAAGTAGGTAAGGGGAGGAGTCGGAGACAGTCTCTGCTGTTCCATTGCAGAACTCTGACCTCAGATCCAACTATTGGCCAAAGAAATGTGAATGCTTTCCCTCCACACTCATTTACGAGGAGTTGGGCCAAAATCTCAGAGAAGACAGTGTTTAAGTTATACAAAAATTAAAAGTTTAGGTTTGAATTTTTTACTGCATGGCTGTGATAAAAATATTTGCAACTGCTGTCAATTGGACATTAAACTATATATTAACCACAGCCCAAGGGCATGTGATTGTGTATTAGGAACAGAAAACTGAGGGACTTAATTGAGGTGAATAATCTAGGTGATTTAGAACCCTACCAGTCTGAGCAAATTATCTCTATTTAGTTAGACAGATCCCCACATGTAAACCCAGATTTTAAAAACAAATCCAGCCCTAGGTGGTTTGGCTCAGTGGATAGAGCATCGGCCTGCAGACTGAAGAGTCCCAGGTTTGATTCTGGTCAAGGGCACATGCCCAGGTTGCAGGCTCAATCCCCAGTAGGGGGAGTGCAAGACGCAGCCAATCAATAATTCTCTCTCATCATTAGTGTTTTTATCTCGCTCTACCTCTCCCTTCCTCTCTGAGATCAATAAAAATATACTTTCAAAAGAATAATAAAAAAATAAAAACTAAGTCCATAGCTGCTATGTAAAACAGTATGGGGGTTGCACAAAAAAATAAAAATGGAATTACCATATGATATCAATTGCACTTCTCCGTATATATACACACAAAAATTGAAAGCAAGGTCTCAAAGAGATATTGAACACCCTATAAACACTGCCATGAACATGCAGCATTGCTCACAATAGCCAAAAGGTGGAAGCAACCCTAGGGATAGTAGGCATATTGAGAGTGGTACATACATATAATGGAATATTATTCAGCCCTTAAAAAGAAAAAAAGGAAATTCTGACACATGCGACAGTGTGAATGAATCTTAAGGACATTATGCTTAAGTGAAGCCAGTCACAAAGGAACATATATTGTGTGACTTCACTTAAATGAGTTACCTAGGTGTTACAGAAAAAACGGAGAAGAACCAAGCAACGCTTAGAGAGATGGAGTTACACTTATTACGCACGAGCCCAGAGGAAAATGTCTCTCAAATTCTGGGTGAAATCACACAGGAAATTTCCCATATTTATACTATTTTACCTTCTTTGTCTCCCAAATATAGGGTTTTTCCGGTTTCCTTTGCAAGTTCTTAAAGGGCTCTATGTGCTGGGGCTTTGAGACCTCGACCAAAAGCTTGGCCTGGTGCCAGCACTGATAACTTCATCTGGGGGAGGTTCTGAAATGGGAGTAAGTCTTATTTTCTGAAATGGCCGCTCTGAAACGGGAGTAAGTCTTATTTTCCTTACTATGTAAGCCAGCGAGCATTACAGAAGCCAGAAATAGCAGGGTTGAAATTTCAAACAGCAGTTTTTATATAAGATGGATGCTTCATAGGATTTTAAAATTCATAGGGACCAAAAGTAGAACAGTGGTTGCCAGGGGCTAGGGAGGAGGGGAAACTAGAGAGTTAACAGTACAATTTCAGTTTTCAAGATGAAGAGTTCCAGAGATGGGTGGTGGTGATGGTTGCACAACAATGTGAATGTGCTCAATACCACGGAGCTGTATATTTAAAAACGGTAAATTTTATGTTACGTGTATTTTAACACAATTAAAAAACCCCCACAAGTCTAGCAAAAATATAAGGGCTTGAAATAACACTGATTTTTCACTCAGGATAGCAAAACATTAAATGTGCAAAAGCTATTTGCTTTGGTCTGGAAACAGGTGCTACTTGAAGAGCATGGGCAGAGTAATGAATTTAATTTGCTTTACACAGAGCACAAACTTGCTATGATCAGGATTTTGAAGGGGAGCCATCAAACATGCAGGTAAATTGAAGGAGTGGAAAAACGGTGCTCTTGGATCCGTGGCATTCGAAGGAATTATATACATAGAACAATGTGGACCCTAATGTGATTCTCTATTCATTATGACGTTAACTGCGTGGCGGAAGGCAACAAAAAAAGGGCCATAACTATGTGGAAGAAACCCTTATTAGCACGCAACTGACATTCCTAAGGCAATTGCTGCTTTAGAAGGCACCGAAAGGACTCCTTGGTGCCGTAAAATCACTTCTTGTCCTCGCCAAAGCCCAGGAGCCACCGCCTGGGAAGCTCCTGGAGCGAAGGGGCCACGGTGAGCTCCCCACCCGGCAGCGGATAAGGCCCAGGGGCGC